GCTGCAGAGACCAGGGGCCTCATATTCTCTGCGCTTGAGCAGCCACCCGCACGTCACAACACATTCACACAGGGGTTACTGGTCCAGGCCTGAACATAATAGATGCCTTTGTCCCCAGGCTGTCTGGACATCTCCCTTGGTGCATGTCTGGGTCAGGTTGAGTGAAGGAGTTTGACAGCAAGGACTCTGGATTTGCTTCATCGTCTGTGTGAAGCATGAGACACACACTGAGTAGGGCCAGCAGTGTGGGTGCAGGGGCGTCACCATTGCCCAGATGAGGGGACCAGGCCTGGCCCCTGTGTACTGTTACCATGTCCCTGAAGCAGGAGGGGGGATGCTGAGAGACCAGGGGTGGGATGGGGAGGGCGGCAGGTGGGTAGTCTCCCACGGGGTGACCCTGCCTTTTCCAAGCCTCCACTTCTCCACATTCTGCACGGGGCCTCCAGCTCACCAGACCCAGCTCCCTGGTCTTAAAAAGTTGAGAAACTTCTGTTCACAGGCCTGATGGAGATGTGATCCAGCTGGAGGATTCCTTGTGTTTCTCAGAATTGTTCACATGTCAGGGTGGCTAGAGACCCCGAATCTCTTATGCAATGGACTGAGGACCTCCTTGGGTCACGGGTTCTGGCTCACATACCATTTCTCTAAAGCTGCTGCTTCCTAAACACAGGGAATAATCTTCTGTTTCCCTTTCCTTGATCTCCATGGTGATGAGACCAACTTGCTAACACACTGCCATGGCCAGTCAGCCCTCCACACGCATTCAGGGGTGAGAGCCTCCCCCGGCCATCGCGGCTGGGGACCATGCAGGTCCCTCAGTCGATGATGGGGAGACCACTGCTGGCTGTGTGACATCTCACCACGCTCCTTGTCTCACCTTCGGAGTTTCTGGAAATAATCGTAGCGCCGTGACTCTGTACAGTCTGGGGTACAGATGTGTTTCTGCCGCAGGCAGGTCCTCGTGCTGCCTCCACTAACGGGGTCACAAGTCCCAAGTCTCACTGAGTGACCTGAGCTCAGCCCAGGACCTGCAGACTTCACCCCGCATTTCCCCCCAGGCCCATACTCAATGCTTTCCTGGGAAAGGCTTCACCACTCACATGTCACATTGTTTTCCTTCTTGTATAATTCCTATTCAGCTCTTTATATCTGCTCACACTTTCTCTAATACTGAGTCAAAAACTTAGAATACACAAGAATCATCACCATGCAATTGGCCCTGTTCCACTCCATTGTTTTCTAAATTTTCTCTATGTCATATTCAATGTCACCATAAGAACTATAATCCTTATGTTAGAATTTTGCAAAAGGGGAAAATGTGTGAATTCATGGAGCAAGAATTAGTATGTGCAATGACTAAAATTTTTAGTAACATATTCTAGAATAATTGAGAAATGAGAGTGTAATTATTATTCCGTGTTTCAACACGGAATAATGACAATTCTCGATTTTTCTTTTCCTTTTTCCTTCCTTCAATGCTTTTTGCAGGTGGATATCCAGCTTTCCCAGCACCATTTATGAGAGGTCGTCTTTACTCCATGATTCTCTTTTGTCCTTTTATCAAAGAGCAGTTGACTCTAATGTTTGTTGGGCTGGATTTTGGGCTTCTTTTTTCTAATCCACCTACTTGTCTATTTTCCATACCGTGCTGACTGGATTATTGTGGCTTTATAATCAGTGTTGAAATCAGGTGTGTATTCACTTTTGACATATTCATTCATCTTGGTCTTTCCTTAATTTCAATAAACATTTACTCATTTAATTTTCAAGGCATTTTGTTTATGTCACTAACAATATTTACATCTTTTATGACCTTCAAACAGTGTGTCCTATTTTGTGTTAGTCAGAAAGTAACTCTGGCAGTGTCATTTCAACAAATGACTTTCAGCAAAAAGTTCTAAATGACTTCATTGGCTAAGACAATGTTTTAGCTGAAGTAAACAGCCTCTTAAAATGCAGCTTTAGAGCCATATATATCCCCTGTCATCGTATTAAAGAGCAGATTCTCACTTAGTAAGTCTAGAGCCAGCCTGCTCTTTTACGTTTGTTCCAATCATCCTGCAGGATGTAGATGACGGTGAAGAATTCTGAACAAATTTTGAGCTGCAAGGAATTTTGACATTGAGGTAAATTGATGCACCGTAGACATTTACTCTTCTTTACCTTTCACCTGATTGTGAAATGGTTTCTTTATATTTCATGTAATGTCTATTTGTTTAGAATATTCTCGATAATGTTACTGTTGTTGCTTGCTCTGAGCCCAGTCTTGCTGATGGCGGTTGGGAGCTTCAGAG